AGGTTTTCTGTCCTATTTCCTGATATATCTTGTGTAGCCTGGAATGGCTCAAATGCCATGAAACGCCCATATTCAACCCAGAATTAATTTTTTATTTTTCTCTAATGGAATTTAAACATGACTCATACATGGACACTTCACTGGAATGGAGAAATTTTAATTTGTGAGCTGAATCCCACAGGAGGTACCAAAAAAACCCCAAATTTACTTGCCAGTGACCTTAATGTCACTCTGAGTGATGTGTGTCTGCAGGGAGGGACATTGAGAGGCCTGAAAGTGGAAAAAAATAATGGGAAACCTTTGCAGAGGATGGCTGAAGTTTCTTGGGAAACCTAAAATCCCTGTCCTGTGGAAAGATTGTAAAAGTCCATTTATTGAGGGGGTGGTTTTACAATTTCTGAGTGCTGAAAGAAATTACAATTTACAAGGGGCTGTTTCTCAATTTCTGAGTGGTGAAAGAAATTTCCCAGCAGGAGCTGGCACAACAGGGATGGCAAAATCGTACGACCTCGATGATTTAATTCACCCTGGAGACTAAACTTGAATTTTCCATGTATTTTCCTCATTTTTGCTGATGAGCAGGGAAATTCAGGATGTGGCTGTGGCATTGATGGGCTGTCAGGGAGCAGATGGAGGGGACACATGGGAGGCTGGACCTTCCCAGAGCTGCTGGTTGAGTCCCCTCTTGGACAAGGGAAACGTCAGAAGGAGCAGARGGAAAGGAAAAACCAACAGTGAAATATCCGTTAAAATTTCCTCCCAACCTCGGGGATTTCTCTGCTCAGAGATGATGGAAATGTTTCCAACAGCCCTTGATGGGTTTATCTGTCATCAAGGGCTTTAATTGCTGTTCTGAACCCTGCAGACAAATGCAATATCTCTTGGTAATGAGTTCCACCATTCAAAAAGGAACCGTGTGAGGAATCACCTCGCTTTGCTCGTTTGGATAATTGGCTTTGATGTCACTTGTGAGAAACATTGAACAACTGTTCACTGCTCGACTTCTCCCCTGCACTCCTGGTTTTACAGACCTGAATTCTGTCATCAGAGCGCCCTTTGATTTAAAAGTTCTTCAGATGGAAACGCTCCTGTAATTTTTGGTCCATTCTAGGTCCATTCTATCCTTTTGGAGCTGATGAATCAGAAAAACAATCAGCAGTTAAATTACACGTGTTCAGAGATGCAAAGGTATTTGCAAGGTCCTTCCACATCTCTTCCATTCTCCATTTCTTCCCCCAAATTCCCCACAAAATTACACAAAAGTGTAATTTTCACCTCTGGCTGCTGTCAAATATTGACCCAGTGTCTTCACATTTTATCTCCTTTTGATTTTCTCTTTTGCCCTTCCTTTTTGCAATCCCAGATATGCATCACAAATATGAGAATCACAGAATGGTTTGGGTGGGAAGAGACCTTAAAGATCATCTCATTCCACCTATTCAGGGACACTTTCCACTATCCCAGGGTGTTCCAAACCCCATCCAACCTGGCCTTGAACACTTCCAGGGATCCAGGAGCATCCACAGCTTCTCTGGGCACCCTGTGCCAGGGCCTCCCCACCCTCACAGGGAACAATTTTTTCCCAAATATCCAACACAAATCTGCTTTCTAGATGTGGCTGGTACAATCCCTTCATCCCTGTGTGTCAAGAAACTGAGTGTCCTCTCCTGACTTGCTTTTATCATAAATTTTTCCATGTGGGAAAGATTATCCTTGTGAAACTGAAAAAAAAATTCTGAGAAATAAGCAAGAGTTTTCAAATTTTCTGTTTTTCTTCTTCCCTCCTTCATCCCCTACAACCCTTGTGTTAAAAATCAGACACAGCAACAAATTCACAGCAGTGTTTTAGACAGGTTTGTGCATGTATTTGGTACAAACAAACAAAAAAAATATGTGCATTCTGTTTTTTCATAGAGCTTACATCAACCTGGCGAAACCTGAAACACAAAACAGAAATACTCCGGCTAATAAATACATCTGGGGATGAAAAATAAAAATCTATACATAAAAAATTCCAATGTTCTGCTAAAGAAAATGTACACTTATATACACACTGTAAACAATAGTAATGCTGCAGCCCAGCTCAGGCTGGTGGGGACCTTTCTTCCCTCGTGGATTTGGGAGAGTCCAGTGACAGAAAAAAACTCATTTTCCACCCTCAACTCTTGGGTCCTTGAAGCAGCAAGGTCTGAAAAACGCAATTGTGACACAGAGCCAGTGCAATGAGGTGGGAGCTGATGGGAAATTGAGGTGCAGGAGCTTTGGGAAATGGCCTGCCTGGCAAATTTGTGGGAATTTTGAAATTCCCTCAGCTGGTTACACCCTTGTGGGTGCAGGGAAATCTGTGGGATCAGACTGAATTTACCTCCTGAAAGTCTGAGCCCGTTTTCCCAAACTTGGGAGAGCTTGGAAATTCAGGCATTCATGGAGAAATGCTCAATTTCAGATTCTCAGGTCASATCTTGTGCAACATTTCCCTTCCCCTCTKCCAGCAAAGCCAGYCCTGTCCYCTCTAAAGGAAACTCTGCACSARCAGCCTCAGATTCCAATCCTGGCAYCACTTCTGATGCAAAATGCCAAATGAAATCAGGGTGAAAACCAAATGTTTTGCCTGAATGCAGCACAACAGAGCTCAAGGCTTCCCTACAGCACCTTCCAGGGCACCTCTTGGGGCCASATCAAATACAGGGAGTAACTGAGCCAGAATTTGGGCATTTATGTGTGATGTGTGTGCTTAAACAAGCTTTATTTTCTCTCTTTTAGCTCTGTAAAGACTTGGGATGGAGAGACAGCAAACCTCCAGACTAATATTTCTTTTTCCTTTTTTCCTTTGAAGGGGCTGGAGGCTGCAAATGTAAATATTTCAGTATTGGGGCAGAAAAAAAAAGCAAAAAATATATTGAAAAGATCAGGGAGAAGAGTAAGCAATAATTCCAACTCATTCATGGGAACATACTGCTTGCCAGCATTTGCTGCATCTTCATTTAGAGAAGGATATTTGCCCATTTGGGGGAGAATTCCTGGTATTTTGGAGATGGCATATGTGTGTAAAGTGTGTTTGTGTGTCTGTCTGGTCATGGGTGCACCCATGGATTGTCCTCTCCCTGTCACATCCCCAATCAGGATCCCAAAAAACCAGAAAATCAGTGGCAGTTCTTACACTACAAAATGATTTTTCACGTCACCCCAGCATCACTGTAAAGTCTCATTTTCCCTAAAAGCCAAAGAAACAGGGAAAAAAGGATGTATTTTCCCACAGAAATCCCCATGGGGTCCCTGCTTTGGTAGGACAAACCTCAGGTTGGTTTTGCAGATCTGGAGAACATGCAGATGGTTTTGGGTCTGGGTTCAGTGTAAGTGCTGAGATTTGCTGCTGGGGAGAAAATATCTGGGCAAAATCTGCTGGTATTTGTGCAATAATTGGTCCAGTTTGGAGTCCTGCCTCAAGTAAAGGGTTTTAAGGATGTTGAGATGGGGCCAGCTCCAGATATCCTGTGTCAATATGCGTTGCACTAAAGAATTAAAAAATAAAAAACCAACTTCCCTCCCACTTTTTTTTTTTCCCTCTAAAGCAAATCAAAATATCAGAAAGAAAAATTCCACTCTCCTTGCTGTGCCTGGGAGGCTTTCACCTTCTTTTGGCAGTGAGGATTGAGGTGCTGCAGGCACTTCCATGAAAATCTCCTTGAAGGTTTCAGGGGCAGCAGATCCCACCCAGGACATRTCCAGTGTCCTGTTCCCACCCCTCAGGACTTCACATTCCTGTTCTTTAGTTCTTTAGACCCATCCTCTGCCTCCATCACCCGCGTGTCTCCTGCTCACAGTTTAACCCCATGGTTTCTCCTTGGGGCTCAATATCTGAAATTTGATCAAACCAGAGTGAATTTTGAAACCAGTGCCTGTGTTCCATGGCCAGATTGAGCTTGGCTGACCATTTTCTGAGCTGCCTGGCCAAGGTGGGTTTTTATGGCTCCAGCTCCTCGAGTTTCCAGGAGGAGGCCGTGGTGTCCTCCTGAGGGGTTTTCACTCTCTGGAACTGTGGGGAAAAAACCCTTTATTGTCATTACTTTTGACCTCATCAGTGAGCACAGACAAAGCAATTGTTGGCAAAGGTTTGATGGGAAATCATTTGGGAAAAGGGTCATGGGTGTGACCCCAACTGGGGGGGAGATCCCTCAACTCTGGGGAGCTCCATCTGCACCTCAGCTCCATTTTAGCTTGGACTCCACGGGCAGTGGAAATGCAAACTTCCAAACCCGGCCATTCCACATTTCTGGAGCCATAGCATCACAGACTCAATCACTGAGGCTGGAAAAGACCTCTTGGATCAATTAATCCAACCATTAACCCAGCACCATCACATTCACCACTAAAGTGCCACATTCTCATGTTTTTTTAACACTTCCAGGGTTGGTGACTCCACCACTGCCCTGGACAGCCTGGTCCAGTGCCTCTGAGTGAAGAAATTTTTCCTGATATCCAACCTAAACCTTCCCAGGCCCAATTTGGGGCCATTTCCTCTCATCCTGAGTGAAGCCCCTGGGATGCATTTTTATCCTGCATTTTTTGAGAAAAGCAATGAAATCAAGAAAGGGATGGGAAGGGCTGGGGGTGACTGACACCAACAGGAGCTGTTTCTCTATGGGTCACAGGTGGGTGCTCACCAAAGTGAGGTGAGCTGCCAGTGTTTCACTGGAAGGTGAAATGAGAATTTCTGAGGCTGGAATGAGAGGAGAGAGACCTGCACACCCCTCGGCAGCAGAGCAGGCATTTGGAACGCTCCTCTGGCCTAAAACCAGATGATGTGGAGGGGGCAAAGCTGTGGCCACGGCAGAGATGATGGCTGGGAGCYGGGATCCCTCCACCTTGCTTGGGAACAGCCCATTCTGCTCTCCCTCCAGAGCCCAGACCCCATCTGGGGTCCTGCTGAGCCCCCACAAGCTCCCAACCCACCCCACGGAGCATCAGCTGCCAGCTCCTGCTCAGCAGGGTGGGTCCTGCCTGGAGGCTGCCTCTGGATGGAAACATGACCACGTGTGCTAAGGCAGGGCTGGCAACTTTTGGGGTTTGCTCTTTCCGTTGGATTTCACGGCGCTGTTTTTAAGGCAAAGGAGGCGTCCTGGTTTCATTGCACAGCTCCTTCCAAAGCCAAGGACAACCATCCACGAGGACAGCTCTCGCCTTAAGGCCACATCCACACCTTCCCCTCCTGCTGTGGCCCATTGGAATAGGATTTACCATCTATTTTAATCGGAGGAACCCATAATCCCACAGCAGGGGCTGAGCTCTGCCTGGGGGATGCTTGGAGAACCTTTGGGCAACTGCATTTAATACCTGATTGCTGCTTCCAGTCTGCCTGACAGACCCACGGGGGCATCCCTCCATTCTGTTGGATACCTCTAAAGAAACCATCGACAGCTGCCCCAGAGGCCTCAAATGTCCGTTTCTCTCAGCCCACAGCAGTCTGTCAAGTCATGGGTTTGGTAATCGATGGTTTCCGTGAAATCCTGAGGGATCCCRATCGAGACCGACTCCACCTCGGTCTTGTAGGTGGCCATGACCCCCCCTTTGCTGGAGCCACCCCGGATTTTGTTCGAAAGGCTGTTCATCTTCTCCTTCAGCTGTGTGGACGCCGGCTTCTGGAAAGGGGTGAGCATCTTCCAGCCCTTGAAGCTGAGCGTTCGCCTCTTACCCGCTCGCTCCTGGAAGGARGAGTTAAATATGAAGGAGCTGTTGAGGGTGTTAATCCTGGGCCTCAGGTCGGTGTCTGAGTCCTGCACGGAGCTGTTGATGGAGGCTCCTCTCCAGTGGTGGTCGTAGACCCTCCAGATGGGCCGGCGGCGCCGCCGGCACTGGCACTTGAGCAGGCGGATAAAAGCGCGCTTGAACTCCTTGCTGGAGCACGGGTAGATGATGGGGTTCACGCAGCTGTTGAAGTAGCCCAGCCAGAAGATGATCTTGAAAACGATTTCCGAGGGCTTCAGGGATGGGAAGAAGGAACCTTGGGAGAGATGGGAAGGAATAYGGTTAGAGGGTGTGGGAGGGTGGGGTGTAAGGGTGGTGGTCAATCCTGTCTAGAAGAGGTGAGATGTGTCCAAAACCCTGAAAGTGTGGTGGTGGTGACACCCTGGAACATGTTTCCCAGAGAAATTGTATTTCCTAACCCCTGGAAGTCTCCAAGGACAGGTTGGATGGGGCTTGGAGCAACCTGGCCTAGTGKAAYGTGACTTTCARACAATTTAMTGCCTTACTCGTAGACTTCAGCATAAAAATATGGAYACAACCCCATCACCTGCACTGAGAGAAGAACAACACCCCTTCACCTCCTCCTCCAATGTGTTTTGGGTCACCAGTGTCACACACCCTCTGCTCAAATGTTCAAGTGAGCTCTTAAACTGTGCTCGGATAATATCCACTGCCCCAAAGCTTGTCCCTGCCACTTGAAAACTCTTCATCCTTTAAGCTTTTATGGAGTTTCCCAGCAGTTTTCTCGGTGGAAAAGCCTGGAGATCTGTTTTCGAGCCAGAAGATGTCAGTGTTGCTCCCACATGGCCTCAACGCAGCATTCCCCTCTCCAATCTGAAATAACTTTCTGACTCAGCCTTAATTTCTTTTAATTTTAGCTGCGGATGACAAATCGTGCTGCCATGTGACTGAGCATTAATTTGTATTTTAGTAAATAACATTAACTCCAGATATCATTATTATTTTCCCTGCGCTCCAAAGCCTGGTGTCAAAATGGTGAAAGAGGTGCCAGCAGCCAGAAATTCATGACTGACACTGCATTAAAACTCCCCAGGCTGTTTGCTGGAGGAAAACCATCCTCCAGGAAACTCAGAAAACTCTTCCAGCAAAGCTTTTGTACACCCAWCCCAAAAAAGTGGAAAAATTCAGCCAGACTCAACATTAGGTACGTGGGCAGCTCCATCACGGGGATGTGGGAGAAGACAGACAGATCCCAGCATTTCGTGGTGGTTGGGCAGGGAAAGCAGCTCAAATATCTGCTGGGAGCCCACCCAAGGAGGGCTGGAGCTCGAGCTGATGGTCAGTGCATGGAAGAGAGTGGCAGGGCTGACATCTCTGTGCTGGGAAGACWTTCCTTCCTGGAAATGAAGGAATTTGTATCTTCCTGAGCAGCTGCTGGAGGTGCAATCAGTGGCTTTGAATGGAGCAATGATCGTGGAATCATGGAGTTTGGGTTGGAAGGGACCTCAAAGATCCAGAGCCAACCCCTACCATGGGCAGGGACACCTTCCACTGTCCCAGGGTGCTCCAAGCCCCTTCCAGCCTGGCCTTGGACACTCCCTGGGATCCAGGGGCAGCCACAAATCTCTGGGCAGTCCATGGGCAGCCTCCCCCATTGTCACAGGTAACAATTCCTTCCCAATATCCCATCTCACCCTGCCCTCTGGCAGTTTAAAGCCATTCCCCCTCATCCTGTCACTCCAGGCTGTCACAAATAATCTSTCTCCCCCTTCCCTTAACTCAGGGCTCAGTTTTGCAGAGGCAATGACCCCACCTTGGCTGTTTTAGATTAAAGGAGCTCATTCTCTCAAGGCAGGTCTGATGTTTACAGGTTGGCTCTGGGCTGCTGGAATCACCACATTTGATTTTAAGCCCAGCAGAAACTCCTCTCTGAGTGACAGCCAGGAGCTTCGAGCACCCAGAGGTGCTGAGGCMATCCCTCTTTGCCTTCCATGGGCCATCTCCTCCATTCTTCATCCCACCATGGCTTTGGCCATTCCCTTTTCCCCACTGCCCCCAACCCACCCCCTGGACCTACAGAAACCATTGATGAGTGGGGAATAAGACAAAAGAAAGAACATCACTGAACAATTAATCCTGCTCATTCCTTTGTCAGGGAGACATTTCCTGCCTCAGTTTCCCCACTGGAGAAAGGGTTAACGATCATGAACTCTTCCCAGAGTTGATGTAAACCCTGTTTGCAGCGAGCTCTGGGCTCTCAGAGGAGCTGAAACTCCGTGGAGCATTTTTTAGCTTCAARAGAGAGGGAAAGAAAACAAAAAGCTATGGCAACAAAGCAAATAAAAGAAGGGTCTCTTTTTGAATTCAGCTGGTAATTACTGCTTGAGCCAGGCTACTTAAGAGGTTGGTGCTTGCCTAAACATCCTGATGGTTGCTAAAATAACAACTTCTATCTGGTGTTTTGCAGTTCAGTGCACGGTGCAGTTTCTTTGTCCTTTGCGCCCAGATAGAAAACACAAACTGGAAAAGGAAAAGAAGCCATGAATTCTCTGAATTTCAACTCTGGCTGTTTTTCACCCTGCTAGAACCTTGTGTACATCTGAAGACAAGGGGCCCATTWCCATCCTCATTACCATGCAAATAAGCGTGCCCCTTTGGAAGGGACGTGTCCTGAGTGCATCCACAGTTCCCTCATTTCCTGGGATGAACAGAACCAGGCAGGGAGTGCCCAGAACATGCTGGAGCATCAGAATCWTTTGATGGGCACTGGGAGGCTGCACATAAGAAGATTTGTGGGGTCTTCTTYAGGGAATGTGCAAAGAATAGAATAAATCATCTTGTGCTTTTATACACAACAACATTTTGAGGGTTTTTGGGCTGGGCTTTGTTACAGCTCCTGTGTAAATAAGTGGAAGTGAGTTTTGAGTGATGGACATGTGAAKAGCTCAGGAAACACTGAAGGATGTGTCCAAAGTCCAGGAGTAGCAACACAGATTGATTCACCAGCATTTCATCCTGGTATCTTGGTGTAAGAGCAATTTTTGGTGATTTGGCCCCAAAAGCATCAAAGCCAGGACAGGGCAATGTCAAAGAACAGGAAGAACAATTTCTGTAGGATCTGTGTCAAATTCAACAGGGAAACCTGATCTTATTTAAAGAGGAGTTTTTGCTATACACTCAAAATCACCTCTCCTGGGCATTCAGCTCATGGAGTGAGGGAGGAGGAGATGATGTCCCCTTCTTGGGGACACCCATCAAAATGTATAATAATAATGCTGGGGTCTTAACAGTTCATTTGGGGATTTCATTCCTTACATCATTTTATAAAGGATCATCCCACATCTTGCAAAATCTGAATCTGACAGTGCAGGGTAAGGGCTGCAGGTGCTGTTGTAACCCTAAATAATTGTCTTCAGGACCATTAGGAAATTTGGACAGCTCAGGAAAAGCCTGTTTGCTCCTTGCAAAATGTCTGGAGTCACAGCCTGAGCATGATCTGAAGACTGAACTTCATTTTTTTTTGGTGATGCAAAAGCTGAGCCAATAAAGTGTGTGCTCAAATTTTATTTTATTTTTTTTAAATTCCAAGTTAATGTCACTTTGCTCATATTTGGGGAAAATCCAGCAGGTAAAAATCTCTAGAGSCATGGGCACGCTTCCCAAAACTGTGACGCTTTCTGGTGGGTGGCAGKGGATGCAATGTGCCCTCCACATACCCAAACACATATCCCATTTCTTTTTTAGGTAGTTTGAGCTAACACAATCTCATGATCTTTCCTTGCCTGCCCTTCTCCACCCTGCCCTCCCCATGACTCACTGGAAGGTGATATCACTTGGATTGTTTGGAGAGTTGCTGGTCCCAGTGTTCAGCGCTCGAAAAAATAAAGCAAAAAACAAGAAAAAAAAAAAAAACCAAGACAAATGCAGCGATGCAAATGGAGCCAGTCCAATCTAAATTCTGGCCCTGGCTCTCAGTGCACAGCCAGAATCCATSAGCAGGCTCAGCTGGCAAGGGCATCTTTGTTCTCAAAGGTCCCTGTTTTGTGCATGTCCTGAACAGTCCGTGGCACAGGAATGCTGCAAAGTGGGAAAAACAAAGTGACAAAGTCGTGTCCCAGTGTTGTGCCACCACGAAATCTGAAATGCAAGGACCAGCAGGACTGTTCAACACTGATAAAGGAGCTGCTGTACTTGGTGTGGGCTTTGTGTCAGGAATGAGTATGGGGAAAAAAAAAATAAGGAGAGCTGGATCTTACAGATGTCATCACAGAAATGGGAAGGGAAAACTTCTACAGGAGGGGGCAGGTGAATAG